GTTATAGAGAAAATTCGTTATAAAAAGAGTCATTTTATATATAAATTTTTCTGACTTTAATTCGTTAAACATAGTACGAATTTTTAATTACTAAATTCGGTATAGTAAGGGGTTTTTTTATATTTAAAAATCTGTTTGACACTGAAAATCTGTTGTATTGTAAAATTCGTTATATCAAAATTCGCTGTAAAAAGAGTTGACTGTACTATATATAGGGGGAATACTATACAAAACGCTTTATAGTAATTATTATATTTATATTTTAGTGTTACATTTTAGAATAAAATTGTATTATGAAAATTGTATTAATTAATTATCATATATAAATCCTTATTTATTTTATCTATTTATTTATTCTTGCAAATATTATTACAATTATTATAATGTTTTTATTATAATTCTTAAAATAATAAGCTAATAATTTTTTTTAAATATTAAATTATTATTAGACTTGTTTATGTAAAATACTAAATATTTACAAATCGCTTCAGATTTATAACGGTCTCTGTTTTCTAGTTTAATATATATTTAATATATAGATAGATCAATTTTTCTTAATATTTTGATACAATTAATTCTTTTAAAAATAGAAGAAATTTTAAACTTTATATCTTATGTTATAAAATCATATTATTAAATATTTGATTAAAGAGCTAATTTTATATTTTTTAAAAGTTTTATTATTTATCAATATTAATTAGATTTCTTTAAAAATTATTATATTTTTTAGATATGATAACAATTCTTATTATTTTTACAATTATTATTAAAATAGTCTTATTTAATTAGTTATTTAGGTCTATCTATTAAATTTTCTTTTAGTTGTATTAGAATTTAGTGATTAATTAGATTGAATTAAACTACATAAAATAGTTAAAATTTTAAAATTTAAATTTAATATAATAAATTTATAACAATATCATATTATTATAAATAAATTATAAATTCTATTATATTTATATTATATATAGCTTTATTTTAAATGTCAATTCATTTTATGTGATCTTTATGAATAAATCGTAATGTAATTTTACCTCATATATTTTAATTCTCAAAATATTATTATTTATTTATTATTATAATAAAAATATTTTTTTTATAAATATAGTTAATTAATATTATTTTATTTAATTATATTATTATTAATAATAAAGTTTTAAGCAGTTTTTGAAAAAAAAAAAAATATATGTATATAATTTGCTGCGGTGTACTGCGTCATTCATGATTGACAAAAATGTTACCATACTATTTTTCGAACGCGTCCAACAAAAAATATATTGCTATCTGAAATTACAATTCCTGCATTCTAAACCATTACCTTGCTTATGTTTAATAATTCCGTGTCATTTGCGAAAACAATTATATTATTTTAGTTTAAAGTTTTTCAGTACTTAATATCAATTTTTTTCATTTCGTTTATTCGATCAAATTCTCCAAATACAATTTTCTCAGGTCATAAATTCATATATTTGAAAAAATTAAACAAAATGTCCGGCGAGCAACAAACTGTAAGCAATAATATTCTTTTGAAATGACTTATTATAACAAAAATTTATGAGGCATGTCGAAATAATGCATTCAATTGCAATTAATGAAGCATTATCTAATTGTTTCGAAATAGGTATTAAGACGAAGTCAACGTACTTCAACATTATCGAAGAGAAAACAGGAGCAAATGTTAACAGAGCAAGCAAGGTTAACTGAAAGACAAGCCGCACTTGAAGCGAAGAAAAAGAAAGCAAAGGTGATATCTGAGAAAGATAAAAAAGGTGATAACACGCCATTGACGAATGAAGTTGCAACAACTTCTGATGTACTGAAAGTGAAAGAAGTAGATTCTTCGAATTTAGAGGACACTCAGTTTGCTAATACAAATAAAATGGATATAAAGAAAGAACTAGATAATTCGCGTGAAGAAACAACAAGACAAGAGAAAAAAACGGCGATTATTAAACTTAGAATAAAAAATAAAGATTTTAATAGTAGTGCTAATTCAAAGGGTAAAGAAACGGCAACTTATAAAGGTAAATCGAAAGCTGTTCCGTCGACCAAATCAAAAAAAGTAAAGAAGCAAGAGGTATAGATTTATCAATTATATTGATTTACACATGTATCTTAAAAAAAAGCTAGTAAGGATGTTAATTCGCCAATTACAATGTTGAATTAGTTGTACAATTATAATCATTTTTAAAACGGTTGAACATTTTAAATAGGGACCAAAAGCACCACAGTATGTCCCTGGTAATGTCGATAAACTCGCCAGTATGTATCCTGATAATTACTGGCAGTTTCATGCGGAAAGTAACAACGGAATGATAAATTATATTAACGTTCAATATCCACTTCAATTGATCAATGTCGATGTGCGAGATCAGGGTATTTATCTTAATTAACTTTTGTTTTATAAGACGATATAACTTATATATTACACGTTTTATTTAAGGTCCTATCACTGGAATGACTTTGTCCCCAGATGGAACAATGCTCGTAACATTTTGTAATGTAGGAGCTGCAAGAATTTGGGATACAAGAGAATTCAAATTGATTCAAAAATTAAGGGATACCGAGGTATATATATTAATTATAAAAAAAGAAACTTAACATCGTACTTAATATAAATTATGTGGTATTTCTTTTAGGAAAAGAATATAGATGAATTTTTCGTCGGGAAATTCATTTACGACCAAACGCGTCTTGTTGTTGGTGGCAAATTGAAAGATCGGAACCGATGGTCTGAGGAAGATGACGATAATCACATTTTACCGTGCCCTTTAAAGGTATAGGTTTATTGTGCTATATGATACGTTAATTATATTTTAAGTTTAATGACATACATAACGTTTTCAAAAAGATTTTTGATACCATCTCTGGAAAAGTTATTGTAAGGCTTGAAGGACATTCCGAGGAAGTTTTATGTATAAAGAATATTTTGTATAAGGGAGAACCCTATTTTCTAACCACCAGTCAGGATGGTTATATCATAAAATGGAAATTACAAGATGACTGGACGTGAGTAATGATAAATGTTCATTGAATGTATATTCATAGATACTAACAATTGATGATATTTCTTATAGAACCCTCATCAACAAAACGCGAATGGAAGATGGCATTACGTGCATGGCATTCACCGTTTCATTTGTTCCAAATACTGGAAACAGATACTTTATGGCTGCTACAGATGAACATGTTCGATTGTATGATTTTGATGCAGCACAGGTATCAACAAGTATTACACTTTGAGTTCTTTCTATTATATCTAGATTTTTCCTAAAGGACAAATTGCATTTGTTTAAAGCTTGTTCAAACATTTTCCGGAAATATGTATTCCCAATATTGTGACTGCGCCAAATTTATATATCCTGTTGAACCGTTGGAAGAAGATTCAGACTTTAACGATAACGTACAAGAAAGTAGTAGTAAAGCTACAAAGAAACCATCGAAACCAAAATTTGCTTATCTTATTACGCGTGGTGTAGAAATTTTGGATGCAGAAGGTGGTAAAATAGGTAAATAATATTAAATATTTGGACTTGATAGTTTTGATACTTTTTGACTAATTTGTATTAAACAAATAAAATGTTAATGAATAGCATCAAGAGTTAACGTTTGCATTTTACACAAGTTAATTTTTCCAACGAAAAAAGGTGGATCGTTTACACTTGAAGAAATAAGAAGATATTATCACAAAGAGTAAGAAACTTTTATTATTTATTTTTTTTAAAAGAAAATAAGTTTATATTATCTTATTAAATAACTTGATTTTTATACAGTTATCATTCTAATTCATGGCTAATAAAAATATCTTCAAATGGACGATATATTGCTGCGCCGACTATGGATGGTGGAGTATTTATATTCAATTTAAAAACTGGACAAGTTACAGGTATATTAAGAGATTATGATGGTGAGTAATATCCATTAATTTAATAATTTTGTTTACTCTTTTTATGTTTTCTAAAAATTTATTTTTATAGATTTGGAAGTAAGAGATGTAATTTTTCACCCATGGAAACCGTTATTATTTACTTGTGCAGATGGTAGGTAAAAATCAATGAATCATTAAAAATTATGAATTAATAATAATTAGACGTTCTTAAATTCTTTTTATAGATGGTTGTGTTAAAATATATACATATAGTTTTCTTGAAAATAATGAATCCAACGATGTCGATATAGAAAAAGAAGATTAATTAAAATATTTACATAATAAAATTTTATTTGGTTTTAGAATTGTAGGATTTATTATTATTATTATTCTTTTTTTTATAAATTATAAATATAATAAAATATAATAAATTCATAAGTGCATATTTATATCTTTAGTCGTCAATTTATTTTATTTTTTTGTGTATTGTTATTTTATAATTGATCAGCAAAATGCAGAATTAATGTTAAAGCAAAAAAAAATACCCGAAATGGTCCAATTACCACTTACCAATTCATAATATATAAAAATACAATTGAAATATTTTCTCGAATATTGGAATATATAATAATACAATTGAAATTTTTTTTTTAAATTTCTCGTTCCAAAAAATTTTGTTTTCGTTGTTTTAGTTTATTAGATTCAAAAAAAGATTCTTTTATGATTTTACAACTTTAATGTAACAATATGCTAAGTTACCTATGTTCTAAATGAAATATTATACATTCGACCGAAAAATTATTTCCGTATTTAAAAATTGAATTACTTCTAAATAACATAATCTACACTTATTTATTCATCATCATCTCCTTGCTTTAATCTTCTTAATTCTTCTTGGATCTGTTCTAATTTATTTAATTTATCCTCTTCGTCTTCTTTTAACGATTCATCACGTGCTTTCTTCTCTTTAATTCTTTCAATCTGTCTAATTTTCTTTTCAAGAGCTTTGATTTTCTTTGTAGTATTTTCCAATTGTTCTATGGTTATAGTAGTTTTTTCTTCAGTTTCTGCAATAAACTCAATGCTTTTATTAATTGACATTTCAGACATTTTATTTTGTAATTGACCTAACAATTCGTTGTTTCCGACTAATTGTTGGTTTTCATTGTTAAGATCACCCTCTAATTCTCGCTTTTCCTTTTTTTTAAGTACTCGCTTTTCATTCTTTTTTTGAGCCTTCATTTTAGGTAAATCGGGTTTTGGTGGTGGTGGTGGTGGTGTTGTTTCTGCTACCCATCGATTCTTATACCTAGCTACGTCTTCTTGAGGAACAAATCCTGGCCGTACTCGTCGTTCCTTTCGCAAGGTGCCATCTGCTCGTCTGGTTGCTGGTATAACGCGTTCGTTGTTATCAGTTGTTACAATTCCTGAGGGTCTAGGTGCAGGCTGGTCAATTGTTTCAGAAGACATTTTGTTATTTCAATTTCAAAAAGTCTAGCCATGTGGGGGGTTTATAATCAAATCAGGGTCATAACATAAACTTAATTGATGTATCATATACTGTACTACATAAATCCGAGTTACAAATTTTTTTCTAAAAAAAAACTTCTCGGTGACGATAAAATAAGCTAAGCAAAATAGTCATAATCGGTATCCATAACAATGGATACATTGAAAGATGTACCAGAGTTTTTCGAAACTCAGCTTGATGAGTCTTTAGTTGCCAGGACCGAAAGTTTAGGTACTGTTAAGAGATTTTTCATAATGGCTTCTTTCATAGTAGTATTGCTTTCTAAAAAAATATATATATTTTTTTTCTTTTTGTTTAAATATCTCGTATGACAGTTTTTAAAAAATTTCTTTCATTATTTTAGGTTCTTTTCGTGAACTTGGTCCTCCTGACCTATGTCATATTACGAAAGCTAATGCAAAACCCGGTGTAAAGGAGGTGAATTTTTATTATTGGTATAACCATCGCGTCATTTTGGTGGATACTCCGGTTTAATTAACCTATAGACACATTCTAATGTTTAATTTTTGTTTTTGCTTTAGGTTGGTTCTTACCATTATGTTTCTGGGGTTGATGCCTCTTCTTCTGCTACTTTAGCTGCATATCTTAATTCATTAACATACGCATTGGTAACTGTCATCTTATTTCATTCATATTAGATTTATTTACAATTTAATAACGACTTATTATCTTTTTTAGGAAGAAAACCATGCTTGGTTTACTAAATCATCTGCTTGGAGAATACGTTCCGGAGTTTATTGGTATATCTCGAATATTTTTATTTTTATTTTATTTATTTTCAGTGACAATTTTATATTTTTTCCCATAGCTGTTTTAATGCGTTCTCACGTGTGGATGTACGTGTAGAAGTCAAAATTCCTGGTGGAGTGGAAAGTTATGTTGTGGATTTACGTGGCGAAAAGTACGTTTTGTCATTTTTTTATGTTTATCGCGTTGGATTTCCATAATTCAACCTTTTTATATTGTAATTCAGACATGAGGCAACTCCAGATACTTGGCAAGAGACCTATATTTCTGCTCTTTTACGTTCTATACTTTACTCAGACGATGTCAATTATCGATTGGCTGGTTTCCGCAAATTGGATCCCATCCCTAATGTCGAAGCGGAAGCTCATTTCTTAGAGGCAGCGGAGCAACTTTTCTTTAAAGGTAAAATCATAAAAAAATAAGATCATTTTATTGATTACTTGTATATTACTAAAAAATAATGTTTATATTTAGGATGGCAATTGGGTTCTGATCCTGAAATACAAGTTGCCACTGTTGTCAGTAATCATTTAACTGCTGGAATCATGAAATATTTCAGTGAAAATTTTAGATATGAACGTGCAGTGAATTTATTTGAAAAATATATCCTTTAATATTATCGGAACGCGTTGTTTAAAATTAATACATATTAAAACATATGTCCTTAACTCATTATTACTGTATCATAAAGACCCTGAAGTAGCGTCGTTGTTAGCCCAGTCATATATTGGAATGGGTAATTATTATTGAATATTTATTTCAAAAGTGATTCACATAAAATATGGAGATTAAATTTGATTCATTAACAAATTATTTAGCTGACGTTTGTTCATTTCAGATGAGGAAATAAAGGCGGTTAAAAAGTTATATGAAGCCTTAAAGAAAAACCCGATGAGTTACGCACTTTTACATGTTCAAGCGGATTTCTTATTAAGCAAGGTTTATATCAATTATATACGAAAAAATTTAACCCTATTTTTTTTTAAAAAAAGTTTTTATTAAATTTATATATATGCGTCTTAGGGTAAAACTGATTATGCGCTTAAACTTGCAAAACAAGCGGTAAATTGTGCACCTTCAGAGTTTGTAACTTGGGCGAAATTAACAGAAGTTTACATTGAGCTCAGAGATTACGAATCGGTAATAATATAATTATTTCATATACAAAAATAATTTCTTGAAATTAATGAAAAATTTTATTGATTTTAAAGGCTCTGTTGACATTGAATTCTTGCCCGATGTTCACTTATAATGAAAGAGATATGCATCGTATGCCATCGCCAGCAAAGACGCATCTTCCAATCAAACAAGATATCATTAATGCGGGACTTCTTGAAGAAGACAATGGGCGCGATAATGAAGTAATGAATAATTATTATATATTGAATTAATTTACTAACCCCCCGATTTTAAATATTTTTACATTTGTCTTTTTATGAAGGCGGATGTCGCGCTTTTACGTCTTCCTGCGCCATCCCTTCGTGGTACTTTTGCTAAAGCATATTCACTGTTGACAAGTTTGGTAGCGAAGATCGGATGGGATGAACTATTAAAGTGTCGATCATCTGTTTTTGTAATGGAAGAAGAATACCGTATGCAGAAGGCGGCAGAAGAAGAGAGGAAAAATCAAAACACAGTTATCGATCTACCACCACCTCCTCAAGAACAAAAAAATAAAACAGATGTTGTCACAAATGTAAATACCGATGATGTAAATGATTCAACACAGTCTGTGCCTGCAATCACTATATCTGAGGATTCAAACGGTGATGGTTCAGAGGATACGAAAGAAAAAAAAGTAGAAAACGCACATGAGGTAAACAGTGAAACGACCAATGACCGAGAGGTAAAAGATGATGATATAAACGAAAAAGAAAATTCCAACTTGAATGCTGTTGAAGAACGTTCACTTGAATCTGAAAATATGGAGGAAGTTAATTTGGATGACGAGAAATCCAATCCAAACAATAAATCTAGGACAGCTCCAGTAATAGAATTTAAGGGTCCTGAACTAGAAAAGCCTTTACAAGCAGCCAACGAAGAAAAAAATGATAATCAAAGTATACATGATGAACAATCCAAGGTAAAAAGGGGAGCACATAAAATTTATATTACTTGCAATCTTTTTTAAAATCGCTTCATTATATAGGATGTTTCAGCAAAGAAAGATTATTCATTCTCATTTAATAATAAAAGGTTGTGCGAAAGGTTCGTAGTAAGATTTTATTAATAATTATATTATACACTCAATGTTAACATCATCTTTTTAGGTGGCTTGATAATCTTTTTATGGTTTTATACGAGGTATTATTTTTTTTTTTTAATTTTTTTGCTTATATTTTTCGTGAAGTTTATTTAAAATTTTAATTTATCCAATAGGATTTGAGAGTATATACTGTTTGGCGTTCCGAAGTTTCTCATTATAAAGCTCATCACATGTCTTATCGCAAAACGGGTACAGAATGGGAAATATTAGGTGATTTGGCAGCGCGTTTGCATCATAAGGTAAAGTTTGTTTTACCGTGTTAAATATCTTTAACTTTTAATTCATTTAATTTAAATATTTACAATTTACAGGATGATGCAAAAGAGGCTTATCAACGTTGTCTTGAACATAAATTCTCAGCAAAGGCTTGGTTGAGATTATTGGAATTCCATGCGGAAGAAGGTGATGTACATCGTGCTTTATTGGCCGTTGTAAAATTAACGGTTTACCACGAGCGATGGTATCACGAGATAGTTGTAAGTTAGTTTAAACTTGAGATAATTCATGATCTAAAGTCGAATCGTTACAAATTAATTCTTATTCTTTAACATATTTTAGTACCCAACTGCTATCGCTCATAATCTTAATAAATTAATCCGATCCGAAGGTTTATCGAAAGTTCGTAATAACTTAATTTCAATGAATTTGTCACATTCGGTAGACAAATTAGTATCAAGATATCTGGATTTTGCTAATACGTTTAAAATCCCCGGATCTAATTTCTAAGTATTTGATAATATTATTTAATTATATTTATTTATGGGTAATATTAAAAATTGGTTTTATGTTTATACTATAATAAAATATTTTTTTTCCTTTATACCAATTATTATTATTATAGTATTTTTCGAACCAACTTGGTAAAATATTTTGGGAGGTTTTTTGGTTCATTTAATAATAGACTAAAAAATAAGCTATAGTGTATTACTACTATATATGTACTTGATAAATTAATTTGATAATTTGGTAATAATAGTATTGAAATAAATGAAATAAATGTTTTAATAATAAATTAATTAAATAAAATGTAATTTTACTTAATAATAATAATAATAATAATAATCATTAAATTTTATAATAAAATCATTTTAATTATAATACTAAGAATTCAAAGGCCACTTCCTTTTGCCATACGCCAACAGTTTTCACTAGATACAAAGCAGGACCCAATAGACATAAAGCAAGTGGTATGGAAATAGTTACAGCTAAAATCGTTGTAATAAAAGTAATAATACTCAAGAAAGATTTAATCATCATAAAGTATACTAAACATCTCCAAGTATACGCATCGGTGATATAACTAAATGATGAATTAAACCAACCTCGAGACTGTAAAGAAGTAGTAGTAATAGGTAAAGATGGAGGATTTTCTAAAGAAAATACTGGTGGATATGCTTGATACCCTAAATTACGAAATAATCGCGGTTGTCCACCACATAATTGTTGAGTGACAAGTTCTATTCGACCAAGCATCCTTTTAACATAAAGTTGGAATTGTTTGCATATAAAAATTTTTCAAATAAAAAAAAAAAAAGATTAAAGGAATTTCTTTTACCTATAAGATGCGGCGGTTATTAGACACATAATATACCCTAATGGTGGTAATATTAAAGTAGCAAGGCATGCAATACTCGTTATTATTGTCCATATAAAACAAAATATTCCGAATGGTAAAGAAAACAAAGTTAAATAAATTAAACAGCCCCAGGTAGATATTTCACAAGGTGCTGTACAACAACAATCATCCTCATTATCGATGATTTGTCGTGTCGCGGCGCGTTGTGAAGAATAAGCGCGTACTATAGGCCTCCCTGAACGATTATGAAGAAGAAAGGGATGAGTTTCATGTATAGGAGAGTGCATTGGAGGAAAATATGTTGAAGGTAATAAAGGCGTTCGAACATTAGGGTGTGAAAATTGTGTTGGAAATGGTAAATGTAAACGTACATTGGGTGGTGGTGGTGGTGGTGGTATACGATACGGTCTCATGGAAGGGGGAGGAATAAAATCATTGGAAAAAGGAAAAGGCGTTCTCATAATTGGATGAGGTAAAGGTTGTGTAAAATGTGGTTGTGTTGAAATGGTTTGTTCAGGCATGGAAGGAAAGACGCGATCATGGTCATTAATACCATTAATACATTCATTTGCGAGTCGTCTATTATTCGCTGACGTTTCTGTAGGAAATTCTGAATATGGAGGAGGTGGTTCTATGGATTCTGACCCATCGTTCACTATATATTCTGAAGCTGTTCTATCTGGTAATCGATTTGACATCATAAACAAGTGGTAAAGAGCGAGTCACTTTTTTTTTTTTTTTTACCTACTACAAAAAGATTAATTCATTATTCGATTTGTGTAACATAAAGTTTAACTTACGTTTGTACTAAAATAGTAACATTCTATAATTTAAATATTCGGGATTGTAGTCACGTTAATCATTGGTCGATCGATTTTGATCTTTATATTTGAATAACATGATGGACGTGTTTCGCGACTTTAAATAAACGATCCGATTTAATTACTATAACTTTAGTTTTCGCTTTTATTTGCTTTTACCATGAAGATATCCACTTGGCTAAAGTCAGGAGTCATCGACGAAAATATAAAAGACACTCTTTAGGCGCGTTATATAGTGCTTGTCCTCTTACAGCTAATTTCATAATTCGTGGATCGACTGAAAATATTTTATAATAAAATTACTATAAAATATTGCGACTGAAAAATTATTAATGGTCCATGAATTATGAAATTAGCTGTAAATCAAATAAAAAATCTTTACTTAAATCACTTCGCGATGTGTTGAACAAAGATCAAGGATTCCGCAAGAAAACAGAGGCAAGCATCAAAGTACATGGCTGGCTAAATTCAATATTTGAACCAGCGAAGTTTAACAAAAAAAGATATGTTGGACAATACTCAGATACAAATAGTAAAGCTCCGCCAGTACAAGAATTTTCCTTCTCGGCTAATGAACAGGGAGCATTTGTGAAGACGTTCTACGCCTTAATAGAAGTAGAACTTTATACATTTCTTTATAACAACGCAGGTATAATCCTGTTCAAAACCGTAGAAGCTTTTGCAAAAAGGCAACGCCCCAAAATTAAGCCAGACTTCGAAAATGCTGACACCCTCTGCATGATTAATTTTTTCATCGAGAATATAGAAATCTTCACCAAAAAATATGAAAATCCTCTCGAACTTTTCAAGGACTATAAAAAGAGTGTTCGAAACAAATGGCGCATGGAGTTGCAGGTGAAAATGGTAGGTGGAACGATAGAGAACTTCAAAACGTCGTGTAAGATCGTTAAATGTCTCGTTAAGTAGTTTGTTAAATAATCTACCACAAATAGGAACGACGTGAAATATATTATTTTTTTCTCTGTTTTAATCATCAGGTGGTAATTACGAAGACGTTTACATGAAGAGGAAGAAATTGAAGAAGGAAATTGCACGAAGATTTATGAATAAAGAGGTACCACCAAAGAGAAAATTCCAAGAAATTGCTATGAGTACAGAGTCAGAAAGTACGAACAAACGAAACAAACCGCATCAGGGAATAAACCATTTTCGTTTTGTAAAGATACTGTAGTATCGGAAGATTTTTAATCCTCCCCTTTACAATCACCTATTGACAGTGATGGCAAATTATAAGGTCATTTACTATTTTTTTCAAATGACCTTGGTCATTTTGACTTGAAATAAATATAAAAGTGATGTCATTTGAGGTCATTTGAGGTCATTTCAAGGTCATTTGCCAACACTGTCTAATAATGCATATCATGCATTTAATAGCACATTTATTAGTATATATCACACATCTAATAGTGCATATCACGTATCTAATAGAGCATATTACGCATTTATTAGTGCATATCACTCATATTTACGCATATTATATTTTTATAAAATTATAGTTACGTTTACTGCGTCTATATAATTTAAATCACTGGCTCCAGATGTGCAAATTCACATAATTCAACTTCTTGACATGTTCTCTCTTTCCTAACTACAGTGATATTACTATGATAAATTCAAGTTGAATTATGTTGACCACAAGGTTTTCCCATAGAATATTGGATCTAAAAAAAATATAAATTAATTATTATTTTATATTATTTTTTTTATTTATAATATAATTATTTAATTATTTACATCTATAAATACATTATTCCACCCTTCAATATGATAAATAATCGCAACTCCTGCTTGAATCAATGAATGGATTATAGTTTTAACACTTGTATTTTTGGTAATAAAATATACTTCAGCATCCTCTTCCGGCTTAGGTAAAGATATTTATTTGGCTAGTTAATATATAATTATTTTTTAATATTATATATTTACTTTACTTATATATAAAATAACAAGTTACGGTAATAAATCAACTTCTTTAATTATATTATCACCCTCTCGTCTTAATATTGAGTTTAAAAAACTTAATAAAAGTGGCTTGTTTTGTTTTACACCAAAAATCTTTTTGAAAGCTACATCATTATAAGGATTAAAAAACCGTCTATAAGTTGCTAAATTTCTTAAATGATTGAGTCCTATTCTACAAGTTTTTTATTTGATCAGTAGATATACCGCCATTTTGAATATCTTAATTGAAGGAGGAGAGAGATTTGAAAGTTGATTTCAAAATCAACTACATAATTCTTTTATCAAAGGTGATAGAAAAGGTATATAGATTATTTTGTTAATTAGCAGTTAGGATAATATTAATTATTATATTGTAATAATAGGCCAAAGAAGAAATCTGACAATTCAAGTTAGAATGAGAAGTTGGTTAATCGAAAAATAGATGCATTGTGGTATTATCTCACATATATGTGACTGGAACATCATGATAAATTTACTAGCAGATAGAATATATGTAAAAATTATTCAATTATTATAAGACTATTGATTACAGGATACTTGATCAGTAAACTTTGAATTTTCTTGATTCTTCTAACTATTTCAAGTTACAATACATTTTGCATGAACCCTGCCATATGCTGCTTCACCTAGAACTTTGAAAATGAGGGTGATATGCATTTTGTACTTCCAATGGTATAAAATTTTGATTGTTTTTTTATTTTTCTGGATTAAAAATCAAAGCCAATGAGCTAAGCCGCGTTATGAGCATAAGCTGGCTAAACTGATTCGCAAGCCATTTTATTGTGATTCAAGCTAAGCCTTAATGAGCTGGCTAATGAGGCTTGTAAAGCTAGCTCGGCTTATGAGCTTTAGTTTATAATGTATTAAATTTTGTCCAATCTGAATCATTGGATATTGAGATATGTAACGGAGACGATTATGTTCAAAAACTTTTATAATTTTTATATTATTATTATTTTAATTTTCTCATCTAGCTTAAAATTAGTTCATGTTTTGATATATTATAAATATAAATATTTATTTATAATATATAAAAGTTTGTATAATTTGAAATGTTAAAATATTGAAAAAATTGATATTAAAAATATTAAAAGTGTACATAAACTTTTGAAGACCCTCTGTAATCAAGATATTTTATAAGTACACACACAGTATATATGCAGAAATGTAATACTGCGCCATGAACCAACTTTATCTTTTATTGATAAATGCGCATTGATTATATCGAAATGATAAATGATTATATTGTATAGCAAGATGTGTTATAAGAAATTACAAGAATATGAATATGCTCATAAACAGGCTCTTATACGAAATAATCACCAATATTATTTTCTGATTTTATT